AAGCAGCTATCCGATCGGTTGTCCGGCTCTTGAAGCGGCTGTTGTTGGTCTCGTGGCAGTGCCGACACGGTGAGAGAACATCCGCCAGTGCCTAGAATTACCAGGTGGATGATGCGTCCAGGGTCCATGTTCGGTGGCGCCCTGCTATGCGATGGCTGGCCGATCCCGCTCAGCATGCCTGCCTGTAAGGTCATTTCAGGAGTCGTGCATGCCGTACGCCGGGCAAATATGCACCTCTCTCCCCCCAGGGCTGCACCTCTCACCAAATTCTGTCATTCTGTACTGAGCAGCCTGAGAGATGCTTCGTTGCGATTCTTCCAACGTTACCCAGCTCAACCTCGGACCTGGATTCCGGATTCTCTCGCTACCGTCATCGCAGAGAGGGAGAAACGGGGCGGATCGGCATTCGTTACAAGCATCCGCGGGGTGACACAAAGAGCAGATGAGGAAGAACGCAGCTTCGTATAAGACTCCCCAGGATCTGCTGCATCTCGCGACACTGCGTTTTCCTCAAGGGTTCGAGCGGATGCCCCGCATGCTGAGGTTGTAGCGGTGAGTGACTGGCTGTGGTCATCCTGCCATGAAGGTTTTCAGCATGCGACGCGCGACCAGGTAAATCCAGAAGATGATACTTAGCCGGAACTGCTGTGCAAACCTTTATCGTACGCATGACGGCAGTGTCTATTATAACGAGACGTGCCTGCACCTCTGAGCAATGAAGGCTTGCCACGCAATGATCCGAGTAGGCGTCCTAGACATTGGGGGCCGCAACTCGAGCTTGTGATGGAGAAGACCCTTCGTCGATTATCGCGGCGCAGTTGATGGGCGGGAACGGCAGATGACGAAACTATTTTGAAGCAGTGTGTATGCATGCGAGGCGTTGATGCTTATAGACGAGGTTTATGGGAGCCATCCCCGCGGCAGGCACCGCGCGCGCACGTGCATCGACCAATCATGGCCGGACCCTGCCCGTGTGAACTAGCGCACGTTTTGCCTACCACAGCAGCGCACCACAGCATTAGGCTGCGGTCGCTCAACATCTTTCTTGATACATGTCACAATCAGCTGAGTGAGAGGTGAATCAGAAGAGTTTGATATTTATGATTGATCAAATGAGCTGGTCCCACACTGCAGACTATGTAAGATGGTGGTCACATAACTGTACATGTCCATCCAGGCTTCAGATTTAGAGCCAATATACTCCAATGCGAAATGTTTTCGTCAGATCAAACGCCATCGCTCACACCATTCTACCATGAAAATGCATGCTCAAAAAGCTCTTTCTAAAACAATCTCCCCGCTCCTTGACGCATCATGACCAGACGTCTTCTTGGTACTGATTCGACGCCCTCATGGCCTTGACAATCTCCTCACCCTTTGTCTCCGGCACGTTCCTGTACTTGGAGATGATTTTGCCGAGAAGCGTGTTTACCTCGCGGGCCATATGCGCGGCGTCACCGCAGACGTAGAAGTAGGCCTTCTGCTCGAGCAGCTTATTGACTTCTTCGCCGGCCTCTTCAAGTTTGTTCTGTACATAGACCTTCTTGGGACCGTCTCGCGAGAAAGCAGTGTGCATCTCGAACTTGTCGCCCATGTCTGCTTGGTATTGCTGCAGATTGTGTTAGCCCGGAATGAGTGGTTGACATGGCATCATGAGACTTACCTTCCATTCATCGGCATACATGAAGTCCTCTGATTGCTTTCGGCACCCGAAGAACAGAATGGTCTTTCCGACATTCTGACCAGCCTTTGCCTGTGCAGCTCTTTCTTGAACGAAACCACGGAAGGGTGCGACACCAGTACCGGGTCCGACCATGATGATAGGCTTGGAAGGATCTGAAGGAAGCTTGAAGTTGGAGTGGCGGACGTGAACCGGGACGTGAATACCGTCATACTTGTTGCGAGGGCCGGTGATGGTGTAGTTCAGGCCGTGAGGATCCGGGTTGGGGTCGCCGTGTTGCTTCTGCTTCAAGGCCAAGAGGTAGTTGGTGGTGACGCCCTTCAAAGCGTATGGTGCGCCGGGCTTCTCGATGGACTCAACAATAGCAGTGATGGAGATCTTGTCTTTCTGGACCAGAGACGACGAGGAGATGGAGTAGTAACGAGGTTGGATCTTGACCATGGTTTCAAACAGGAATGAGAATGGGATCTTGTCCCATGTGGCGCCCTTTCCGGTGATCTCGAGCAGCTGGCCAAGGTTGAGGTTGCGGTCGGTAACCTGCTCCCTGAAGTAGTCCTTGTCGCTACCGAGTTTCACGATCTCAGCCTTGATCTCGTCGTTTGGCGCAAACTGTGCAATGACAGAGACAAGTTGACGCGACACGGCGGCGTTGATCTCAATGTGGAAGCGGACGGCGGCATCGTACGTAGTTGGCGACGGGAATGGAACTTTGGCGGTGGGGTCGAGACCTCTGACTGAAATAACCGTGTGGCGCTTGTCTTCCTTGCCGAGAACCTTGAACAGCCTATCGACTTCCCTGCCGGCGTTGTTGGGCCAGATGGCGATGTGATCACCGGTGGTGTATGACAGATTGGATCCAGCGATGCTGATTTCCATGTGTAGGCAGTTTCGGTTGTCGGAGTTGAAGAGTTCGGCAGATTCGACGATGGGGGCGATAAAGGGGTTGTTGGCGTTGAAAGGACCCTTTTGGTTGCCCTCAAGGTGGTTCTTGTTGGGCTCGCCGAGGTAAACGGTGTCATCTTCGGGAGATAGCTCTGGCTTCTCATTGACTTCGAAAACGGGCTCGTACATGGCTTCGCGCTCCTCCAGACCCATCTTCTCGGCAACAGCAGTCCACATGGGCTCCTTCCAGGCGAGGAAATCCTCTTCCATGGTGCCAGCGCCATCGTCGCCCTCACCAGCAGCACCCAGTCTGGTGGCACCGAGCCTCGTCAAGTACTTGTCGACGTTGCGGACCATGGAGTTGTAGTGTTCGTATGTGTTGTTACCGAGACCGAATGCGACGTAGTTGAGCTTGTTGAGGGGCTTGTCGTCGATGCTGCCACCCTCCGAGAAGCTGACATCTTCAGAACCGATAAACTCGTAGAACTCGACGGCGTTATCGGTGGGCTCGCCCTCGCCGTAGGTGGCTAGTACGAATACGGCGAGCTTGTCTTCGGGGAAGGTGTCGAGGTTTTCGAAATCGTACTCCTCCAGATCTGCCACCATGGTCTTGAGGCCGAATCGCGAATGGCCCTCCTTGGATATGCGGGAGGCATAGTCCTCTGCCGTGCCCGTCTGGCTACCGTAGAAGACGACGCAGTTCTTGTCCGTCTCGTCCATCTTCTCTATTATGTTGCGCGACTTGCCAGCCTTTGCAGCGCCATTGGCCGTGGCCATGGAGCTGCCGTAGGGGTCTCCGTAGACGCCCCAGTAGGTGCCTTTGGTGAAGTAGGCTACTGTGCCGACCAGGAGGGCGGCCAGCACGATAAGGTCCAAGGTGTCGAGTTGTGCCATGGTGCTGAGAGGGGCGTTAGCAGAGTCGGCGGGAGAATGAGGGGCTGACTGACATGGACACGGTAGAAAGTTGCCGTCCGGAAGGGGATTGGAAACGACACGGTAATATTTGTATGCGGCTTCGCAACGGAGGATCGGAATGGCAAGTGGCCGTGCGTCTCAACTCAATCTTATCAAGATCTGGCCACGGAGCCGCAAGCAGGCTGTTGAGACAGCACACCAAACGATAATCTCGCCTTTAGACTCTACACATCTCTGACCGCTTCCTCGACACGGGTAAAGTGGCCAAAAGTGGTGCCGTCACTGACTGGCAGACGCCCATCGGAAGCCGAAGCGTTCCGCAGCCATTCCGCTGGGGCAGCTCAGAAACAACGGCGGGCCTCAGGTGAGACCCTGACTTTCCCGACCCTCGCGGCCTTTCCGCCATGGCTACCAAGAACCCCGCCAGCACTTCGGTACCTTTGTGGGGCACACTGCGGCCACACATACGACGACCTCGTGCGAATCACGGCAGATGGAGGCATCGAATCTACAGAGGAGCAGCGTCAAGCCGGCGGTAAAAAAGATGCAGCATGCACGCGACAGTCGTGCAAGGCTAGGCGACGATAGAGACAGTAAGCATGTGATGGTCAACTCCAGGGCGGGAAACTTTCCCTCCTGACGATAGATTTCACGGTTCGCTCGAAATGAAAGTTTTCGCATATGATTGCGCAAAGATGACGAGGCGTCTTGCCCAGTGCTCAAAGGCTGTGAGCCGTCTTCCTGGGTGTTCCTGGTATCATCTCATGGATGCTTCACGCACCAAGACCGTAGACTAAGCGAAGCCTGGAAGTGCATATATATGCGCAGCCAGAGCAAGTGCAGGTGGCAGTATCGATTGAGGTAAAGAGGCGCCTATCCCGATGCAGATATCTAAGTCTTGTCATCACTGCGCGTTTAAGATGTCGCAACTCCCGCGTCTACAGTCTTGCATCTCCAGCCTTACTGCACGTGTGTCATAATGAGTCAGCCTACTATTCTCATGTACGAATAGACATGTGCATGGTGAACGACAAATCACAGATGGAGAAGCATCGCGTACGGCAGTTACCAATACTCTTCCTTCCGATCAAGGTCAGCTGAGCACTACCTAGGTATCTAGGATAGAAGCGCCCGTTATCAGGTACCTCTCAGTAACTGCCTAGGAGGCATACTGACACGGGAGGAACCCCTCACCTACGTATGAGGCTCTCGAGGCCTATCGATAGCTTGCCATGCCCAGCTCCCAGAAAGGCAGACCACGTGGGACTGAATAATCTCCAGGCTCGGATCGATCTCCAGAGCCGTGTTGATGCCGGGCGCCATGGATGATCGTTGCCTCGAATCAGGCTAGACGGCGGCTAGTCAGGCACAGGGCACCGCTACGTACCCATTTCATCCACCTCGAGACATCCATGACAGCCGTCGCGACCCTTTAACGGCGCCCTCTACGTCTTGAGCCTTGGAAGATAGGCTGCAGTATTCTCCGCGCGCCACGGAAGATGCTGCACGCGAAGCCTGCGGCATGTGTGAGTAGCATTTCCCTAGCCCCAGGCCCGTCGTCATTCAGCTGTGAAACGCACTCCCCACGCGGCCTGGAGTTTGACAGTGCCGGCTCTTCAGGTGCCATGGCGACAAAGCCTTATCTTGACGTCGACGCTTCTCCGCGCTGCCTCAGAACTGTGCTGACCCCTGTGCCTTGCCCAATGCAGCTGCTTTCCCTCTCCTGCAAGCTCGACCAGCTGCTGGGAATGTGTCGCACCATATAGAGCACCCCTCGTCGGCCTCGCGTGAGCCCAGCCAGACCCGCGGGCGTGCGCTGACTGCCTCGTCACGAACCATCGCCTCGCGCTCCCAGACTCCGGCCGTCAAGGCTGCCAGCAGCAATTCGAGCCCCGACCGCACCCTGACGACGCTCGAGCGCAAGCCCTCGGGCTCGTACGCCCACAACCGCAACACGTCCATCGTCCACGGCATCCAGCACTCGCGCAACACCAGCTTCGTCAACTCCCCCGCCACCAGCCCGCTGAGCCCCCAGATCATCGCCGCCGCCGCCGGGGCAACCCTCGATGGAGCCCTCATGTCGCAGGAATCAATAGCCGACGCCTTCGCCGCCAACGGCATGCAGCCTGGCGCAGGCACAGGGAACGTCTATGCCGGCGTGGGGCCACAGGCGGCATCCAGCGATGGAAGCATTTCTCACCGCAAGCCTGAGCGGGCGCCGAGTGCCAGATCCGTGCGAAAGGGCCACAATCACCACCGCTCCCAGTCGCGCCACCCGCCGCATCCCCACGAACTCAAGACGGTTGGCGAATATGCCCTGCACCACCTCTTCAACGCCTTCATCAGCCAGGCCGAGCAGAAGATCAACCAGTGCATGACGGAGAGAGGCCAGCCTGAGGCCCGGGTAGAGGGTGTCTGTGGACCTGGTGTAGACCCTACCTTCGACCAGCTCATCGCGGCCCTGGGCCATATTGCGCGCCACAAGCCAAAGCCGCTTATAGACACCATCATGCTATGGCGCAAAGCCAAGAGCGAGGAGGCGTCCAAGCAGCGCACTCACTTACTTACTGCCCGACAAGCCAACCCAGGGCTTCAACTCCATCCTGCGCTATCTCGACGTAATACTGAACCGGTCCAACAACTGGATAATCAATCCGCAGCCTCTGTAGCATCTGGCCCCGACCACATCGTCGCTCTGCAGCAGACTGTCACACAAGCCGAACAGCGCTCGACTGTCTCAACCTACATCCTTTGCCGCGTCCTGATCGAGATCATGACCCAAACCGACCTCCATAACTTGACTTTTGAGATGGCCGACCGTCTTCTTGGTCTTTTCTACGGCCAGCTCAGCACCGTGGACCCTGACCTCGTGGACATATCCCCTCTCAACCTCGCCAATTGGACCATCTACAGTCAACTGCTCGGTGTGCTGAGTGGCCTCATTTTTGAGCAAGTGCAAGACAAGTTCATCACTGACCTGAAGATCGTCGATGGTCACTTGGCCATCAAGAATCAGTACAACCGAGACCATGAAGCCAAGGGCGCCTTGCTCATTCGCGCTCTAAGGCACCTACAAGTGAAGTCATATCCTGAAGACACCTGGGACCGGACATGTGATTTCATGCTTTCCATGGCAAAGCTTTTCACCAGTGCCCACGGCCAGCCGGTTAAATATGCGTACTGCCAAGTCCTAAGGGAACTCTTATTACGTATCACCTCTAAAGCGACCATTGAACTCAACGCTCCTAGATGGAAGACTGTGATCGACATGATGAAGCAGCGCGCTGCCATACTGCTGGGCAAGCCGAAACACTGGCACGAAGCCTTCCCACTCATGGCCGCCATCCTATGTGCTTCTCCGACCGAAACCTTTCTCTCGCAATGGCTTGCGCTCGCCTTGTCTACTCAGCCACGACTCAAAGAGCGCGCAACCAGAGCCATCGCCCTTCGAGGCATTTGTCGGCTAGTGTGGACTTACATATACAGGCGGGGAACCGAAGCACCAAATGTCGCTGTTCGCCGGTTGGAAGAAATCATACGAATGGTGTTCCAACCCGGAAGGCGATCGTACCTATCAACTGAACCAGCCATCGCTGAGCCATTGATACAACTGACACGCATTATCGGCTACAAGTACCAAGACCTTTGCTTCAAGACCATCATCTTTCCCCTGCTCAACTCCGACATGTTCTTGTCGGGCCGAGAATTGCGCGTCGAAAACCTAGAGCCTGACCGTATGGTCATTGGTATCCGCTCGTTTCTGGCCATCATGGCTGATCTCGAAAATACGGAGCAGCCGCCTTTTCCACTTACGTTCGACTACGATCCAAACGCGGTATCGAACGAGCTCCCGGCTCTTCCTTCTAGTCCGCGGCCTTCACAGCCTCTACCCATAAAGTCAAGTCTTCTCAAGGAAGAGCGTCTGTCGCGTCCTGTGAACTTCGCCGGTTTCGCCGAAGTGGCCAAGGAGTACTATATCCGCTTCTGTAAGATCTTGGGGGAGATCACCATCATCTGCGACAACGCATTCGGAGGCCAGGCCGTACTCGACGAGAAATTCTCTTCGCAAACACCAAAGACCCCTATGGCGGCGGCCTTCAGTTTCGCTCCTCGTGAAGATTACATGACCACCACAGATCCGCGGCAAGGGTTTTATGACCTCTTGCATGTCGCTGTTCAGGCTTTACCCCGCTGTCTGTCTCCACATATACCGTTCAATTCACTGGTAAACCTGTTGTGCACCGGGACAGCCCACGTACAGGGGAACATCGCTGTGTCATCCGCTCAATCACTCAAATCTATAGCCCGACAATCACATGCACAGCAAGTCACGATTGGCTTTGCACGGTTCATCTTTAATTTCGACGACCGTTATGCCACTATGTCTGATGGTGGCATGCTTGGGGCTGGGCACATCGAGAACACCTTGAAACTCTACGTGGAGCTACTAGAGATATGGATTGAAGAGATCAAGCGCAAGACACGTAAAGCAGCATTGGATACGCCAGATGACGGTTCTGGTAATCGCGCGGCTCTTCTTGATCTGTCTTCAGTGTGGGCGCACGTTGACGAAGTTGAGTCCCATGGTCTCTTCTTCCTATGCTCGCCTTCACGTCGCGTCCGCTCGTACGCTGTCACCGTGCTACGCCTCATAACTGAATTTGACACGGCTCTGGGAGGCTCCAATACACGTGTTATCCGGGTAATGGAGGGCAGCCCCCAGAGAGTTCTCGACATTAGCGATGAAAAGTTGTCGTTGGCTGAGCGCAGTCGATTGCAACGCGGCATGCGTAAGAGCAATGTGCAGAGTACCCTTGTTGAGCTTTGTGGTAGCGACGTGCCGTACGACGCTACCCTGTGGTTCAAGATCTTCCCCAATCTGGTTCGAATCAGCTTTGAGGTTTGTCCTTTCGCCGTGACTCTCACTCGTGACATAGTCTGTGCGAGACTTGCACAGATGTATCGCACTCTATCATCCTTAGCCGAGGGTCAGCGCTCTACGCCGTATTCACCCTTCGAGCCCGGGAGTAGCAAGCTCAGTGGCCGCCTCGCTTCCACATCACCAGAAGTCGTTATCGAACAGTGGAAGTTGTACCTCATATTCGCCTTCACGACATTGACAAGTCTCGGTCCGACGGCCACATCAGCCACGCAAGGAAATCACTCGCGTAAAAGCTCAAAATCTTCACAAATTAGCACGAACAAGCAACATACTGCTACCGAGTTGTTTTCCAAAGTCCTTCCGTTCCTGTCAGTGGACAATGTCGCCATTCGGGATGCTGCGGTCATCGGCCTCGGTTCCGTCAACCTCAACCTCTATCGTACACTGCTCGAATCGCTTCAAGGGATCGTGGCTGCTTGCGCTGAGGAGGCGAAGATGCGCTTGGGAAATCACAACCGGACGATCAGCAGTCCTCGCCCAATCAACTATCGAACTGACCATCTTCGGACTGAGATTACACACGTCTACAAGCTGACCTCTCAGCAATTTCTCAAGCTCCCTGAGGCTCACAATGACGAATGGATAATCAACAATCTCATGAACTACACCAAGGATCTGAGAATATTCCTGAGTGATACGGAGGTCCAACTCGAAGCGCGCTATCAGAAGCTACGTACGCACTATTGTGGACTGGTGGAGGTTTTGTTTGAGGGCATCAACAAAACCAGTGATCCTTTGCATTGGATGCCTTTCCAAGCCCGGAAAGCTGCATTCACATTGATGGAAGAGTGGTGCGGCTATGCGGCAAACCAGTCTCAGATCCGCCAGCGTGAAGAACAGATGCGCCGTTCCATGCTTGATCGAGAGGTAGATAAAAACAACAAAGGCAACGCGACTGCGGCTCTTGAGATCGAAAAACGCGATCTTCGAACCGCAGCGCTGAGTGCCATGGCGGCGTTGTGTGGCGGGCCTGTTAGTATTACCACTGACAGCAAAGTCCTGCTTCAGTTCGATGTTATACGCATGCTCTCGTGGATCCAGAGCATCTTCGAAACCCCGAGCGATCGGACACACGCGATTGGTCGCCGAGCACTCACTAACCTTATACTGCACAACCGCGAGCATCCATACTTGCTGGACAAGGCAATCGAAATGTGCTACCTCGCAGTTTCTGGCAAAGCGTTGGAAAGCTACTTTGAAGTTGTCACACAAGTCCTCACACAACATGAGGACTATACGTTGCCATTCTGGAAAGTACTCAGCGCTGGTCTTTATACGCTTGGACACGAGAACAGCGAGATACGCACCAAATCAACGCGATTGCTCCGAACGCTTGAAGCTCGCGAGGGCAAGAACTCGAAGTTGCAAGATCTAGATATCAGCATTTCTGACAAGACTGTTGCTGTCTACAAGCTGGCGCAATTCGAGACGTCACGGAGGCTCGCTAAGCAGCATGCTGAACTCGCCTTCCTGGTCTTCTCGCAATTTTCCTACTACTTCAAAGATCTCAAGCCTGACCACAAACGCAACATGGTTGCCGCTATGCTTCCTTGGGTGCAATCCGTCGAACTCCAAGTAAATCCGGATGGAGGACCGACTGCTAATTCTTACATGCTGCTTGTCAACCTCTTTGAGATCACTTACAAGGCCGGCAACGTACTACACAATGAGATTCAGGCGCTCTGGCAAGCATTAGCAACGGGGCCGTACGGTGGAAATGTTCAGTTAATCTTGAACTTCATCATCAACCTTTGCCTAGACAAACGGGAACAAAACTACGTCGACTACTCCAAGCAGATCGTAGTCCATCTATCGAGTACCCCTGCAGGGCTGAAGGTGGTCGAATTCTTGCTCCTACAGATCAACCCGCGGTCCATGGTAAGCGAAAAGCGCGAGCCTATGCCACCACCACCAGATGCCGTCAATCTACCATACTTGGCCGATCTCACTCAGGTCCTACCAAGTAGCAACAAGCAGGTAAGCATAAAGTAAAACTTGGAATGAACTGCGCTAATTCTCATAGTCCGGCTTCGCTCTGGGACAAGTTTGCCTCATCCTGTTGGTTGATCTTATGGTATCTCCAGTTGAGGTAGCCAAGGAGCACATTCCTTTGCTTCTACAGGTGGTCTTGGTTCTTTGGGATCACTATACTTCTGTAGTTCAGGACCAGTCTCGCGAGATGCTTGTGCATCTAATCCACGAGCTAGTCATCTCCAAGATTGAAGACGATACGCCAGGCATCAACAAAAGATCGATCGAAGATTTCATTGAAGGTATTCGACAACATGACGCCAAAGTGGTATGGAGTTACGATGACAAGAATGGCAAAGACGTTGCAGATTCAACGTTCAAGGTTCCCGAGCCGATGGAGTATGTTGCTGGCGAGGTCATGAGATTCTTTTCATTCGCGTACCCTGGGCTTCGAGAAGCTTGGGGGCGAGTCGCACTGAATTGGGCCACGTCGTGTCCGGTCCGACATATTGCATGTCGATCATTCCAGCTCTTCCGCTGCATCTTGAGCTCGCTCGATCAGCAGATGCTTTCCGACATGCTTGCAAGACTTTCCAATACCATATCAGACGAGGAGAGCGATATACAGACATTCTCTATGGAAATACTTACGACGTTACGAACGATCATCGAAGCACTAGCACCGGACGACCTCATACAGTACCCTCAATTGTTCTGGACCACTTGCGCATGCTTGGATACCATACACGAAGGCGAATTCATGGAGAGCCTGCTGATGCTAGACAAGTTCCTCGACAAGCTTGATCTGGGCGACGAAGAGGTGCTGGCAATCCTGGAAGAAAGTTGCCCGGATAAATGGGAAGGCAAGTTCGAAGGCCTTGCTCAACTGACGTACAAGGGTATCCGATCGAGCACATGTCTGGATCGATCTTTACGAATCTTGGAGAGATTGGTGGTCCTACCTTCCAGCCGCATCGTGGGCGATGATAGCCGACTAATGTACGCCATCCTCGCGAATCTGCCAAGATTCCTACGCTCGTTCGACTCTACAGCAAAAGATTCTAGTGTTCGAGCCACCGCCGAAGTGCTTGCAAAGGTTGCCGATCAGCATTACCAATGCACATCGCTGTCCGAAGCGTTGACAGCCTTCGCAATGAAGAGGTATCGTCAAGAGAAGGATTTTCTCGCGCAGACAATGTCCGCTATCCGCTCAACATTCTTCCCAGAACATGAGTTCGGCAGCCTCGTGTTCCTGCTCGGTCTCTTGATGAACAACATCGATTGGATGAAGATCAACACAATGGAAGTCCTCTGCGTCCTGTTACCCGAGATCGATATGCGCAAGCCGGAGATGGCCTCCAAAGGATCCGATCTTTTCTCGCCTCTTCTACGACTACTACAGAGTGCGTATTGCCCTCAAGCTCTGAGGGTTCTGGACTTCGTCATCAATCTCAACATGACTAGTACTCTTACGCCGTTCGACAAGCAGCATATTCGAATGAGTATGGCAGGTTCTCACTCCACCAGAGGGTACAAGAAACAGTTCGAGAAAACGCAGTCATTGTACGGTATCCCTGAAGAAAGCGGCTGGTCAATTCCGATCCCCGCCATGCACTCGCAGTTGACGAGGGCCAACGTCCACGCTGTCTTCTACACCTGCGGAAATTTCGGTGAGATGAATGTGCCAGACACCGAGACACCCAAAGTAGAATTCCGCCAAGAAGAATTCCCGTTCAGCCCGTTATCCGACTACCACCGAACAGCGACCATGACTTCAGAAGATACTCGGGGCGACAGTCACATTGGTGAACTGGTCATGAAACTAGACAGCTTGGACGACTTCTTTGAGGATGACGATGACGCCGAGACGTTGACAGACTTACCAAACTTCTCGTCCTCGGGGCGTTACGCGAATGGATCGTTTGCTCACGATATGCGTGAGAATCTATACGATCAGCAAACGGCACCTATCCTGCACAAATCTCTTACGCGAAACGCATCCGTTACATCATTTCAGTCGGGGTTCATCTCTGATGTCAAGCTCTCCCCGGCTAGGGACCCTGGTGTCATGACCCCGGGCGCTTTTAGCTCCTTTGCCAACTCTTCTTCGAGTACCTTACCCCCAACAAGCCACCCCCGCCCTAATTTACATGCCCGATCAGTGACGTCGCCATCTGCTCCAAACCAACCACAGCGCATTTCACCTTCACTTTCGTCCACCACTCTTGACGAACAAAACGAGCCGTTCTCCGACGACGAGTACTCGGCTGGTCGTTCGAACAGCACAGACAAAGCCGGGACCTTTAGTCTGGAGAACATTATCAAACCTGTCGCTCACGATACGCGAAGTCGCTTTAGGAGCGGCATGAGGCGACTGACTGGCGGCGGTGGGGACAACAAGGAAGGGGCCAAGACAAGAGATGCGATCAAATTGGCACTACAAAAGAGTCCCCAGGTGCCAAAGGTACCTGACATTTACTTGGTGAATCCCAAGAGTGCGGATCTATAAGATGGCTAGAAGAAGCGAAGAGTACATAAGACAGGTGCTCGAGAATGCGAGTGCCAAGTATATACATGGTGTAATGTGTTTATTTGTATAAAGAGAGGGAAGGGATGACCGGATACCAAGGCGTAATATTGGGATGGTGCTTTCGTACGAAGAAAGGATGATTTATTGCATGTGTGGGTGACGTCCAAAAGATACCAAACGCTCTTTTCCTTTTAGCTGTATTCAGCTCGCGAGATACCATAGTGCCAACAATACGATTAGAATGCTCATGTACCATCCGCATCCATTGTTCACTAATCACAGCATCCTGCGTCATCAATCGACATGCATCCTAGCGCATGCTTATGGCTGCCTCGTACCCTGGTGGTGAAACATCAATGTCGAGTTCGCCGCTCTCAAGTCTATGCTCAATCGCTTCACACCTTCGATTGCACTTCAGCCAGCCTGTTGTCGGAACAGGCAATCCGTGATCTCGATACCAGGTCCGTTCTACCGCCGTCATCCAATGTATCGGCCCTCCATTATTGACAAATTCCTTCTGCTTCTCTCGGTCCACATCATCCCCAACCTCACCTACAAATAGAGGCGCAATACTCCGCACTCCTGTGGGTGCATAGCTTGGTACTACGGCTATCGTGGCGCTGAGTGAGGATAGTACTGTGGAAGCGATACGTGCGAACATGCTCTCTTGAGGCTCAGTAGACGGATTCGAAGTGATAAAGGTGGGCAAGACGGGTGTGGACTGCCATTCTGGGTGGTCACGTACGACTTGGGCAAATGAGGATGTGGTTAGCCAGCCACGTCCCTGGTAGCAGAGCGCGATGGAGGGGTGCGTTGTGCGGATTACGACTGGGCCCGCTGGATGGTGGATGTAGGTGAGCATTGTTGTATGGGTGGTGTGCATGGGTATTGTGGTAAGTGCGGCATGAGGAGCGCGAGCTTTGGCAAGTGCTTGCAGCAAACATGATGTGTGAACACTGTGAAGAGGGGTCACGTATGATGAGCAATGTGAAGAGATCGAGATCATGGGTCGTGTCAATCTACGAGAGCGTGATTGCGCCGAAACACTGCGCTGGACGTAGTAGCCATTGGGCGCGTGCGAATAAACTTCTGCGTAATAGACATGAATGCTGTCGTGCTGTTGAGTTGAGGTCGCCCCATATTCAGGTCGAACACGGAAACATGACAGCCTTGTCGTGACAGCCTCTTCCCTGGCAAGATTGAAATGCGATGCAGCGATTCAAGAGGATGGTCAAGGATGCCAGGCGAGTCCGTGCGGTGCTAATGATCTAACAGCCCTAAATCGCGTGGCATTCCAAATTCGACGCCAACGTTCTGGAACCGGTAGCTTTCGCAATCCCATAACCGGTAACTTTCGCACTCCCAGAAAAGATCGTTATGTTACATGCACGCTGAAAGATGCATTAGTCGCGACACGAGGACGATCGTGGCTGACTGGTTGTCGCACCTCAATTCGGTAGACGCGGGGAAGGAGGCTGAGGAGCCATCTCCGGATTCGTCGGCGGAAGAACAGAAGCGCCATGGGTACCCTGCAGCCCTGGAGGAAGCTGAAGGTTTAGCGCACGCAGTAACGTCTAACACATGGCAGCTGGGCAGCTTCCTCTCCTATTCGCCTCTCAGACAACACGCCATTTCCGCACTGTTGCTATGTCAGACCGACATTTGGTTAACGTGCTATCGTGCACTCAGCCAACCTCCAATTTGGGCTTCTATCGTGGCGCGCGCACCCAGCAGCGGCCGTTGCGTGTTCAGCTACGTCGTGATGGCCGTTTGAGAGCCCAAAGATAAGTCCAGCGCTGTGCTGAAACGCCTCACTTCGCAAAAAGCTCTGACCACGACGCCTTGACATGCCGGCCGCACTGCTTGCAGTGGTGTCGTACGCATGTCAAACACGCTGTCTGTGTGTGAGGGTATGAAACAAAATAGATTTTTTCGGCCTTTGCTAAAGTCTTCATCCATTACCCAGGTTTGTATAAAGACGGTCGTTCCGATAAAGACATTGCAGTCATTATCTCAAACTCATATCAAACATGTCGACCGTATCTCAAGGCGCAAAGGTTTACCTTATCCACACTACACAACATACTCGCCCTTTCTTGACGACTGTACCTTTCATAGCCCGTGACTTCGCTGCATGGGGACATCGTGTCGACCACCACCCCGCAGACTCGGCATACATCAATGAGATTCGATCCCGCGAGGATGTGGAACACATGAACCGCAAGGACCGCGGTGGAAGCCGGAGGACAAAGCTGATGGAGATATGGGCGACCGAAGCCGTCCGCAGAAAACGAAGGCAGCGAAGAGAACCCCATGGCATTGAAATCGAAACATCGATGGGAGAGGGCGGCTTCGGACCGCAAGATGCCAGAGTGAAGAAGGCTGGTGATATGGTACAGGATGTCATCGATGGCGTGGCTTCATTTGGTTAGTGTGCACTATAAACCCTGATACGGTTGTGTGATATGAGGAGTAGTACTAACAAACTCAAGAAGGCAGATACACAGCGACACCAATCCGGCAGAACACATCACCAGGATCTCCACCTACCATCATCACCACATACACACGCCATCTCTTCGCCATTCGGTACACACCAAATGCACCTCTCCCATCATGGTCGAACCCCGACATCACGTACGCAGACCAAGTCGTCTTGGAGTTCCACGACTACGAAGAGATCAGAAAGGAAGATCTAGTCCATGCGGTAAACAGCGCGATTGGCAAGAACGAAGGCAGAATGGGCAAAGTGGAAAGATGTGCAAGAACAGGCATGAAGCGAGTGATTCTATGGGTTGACGTCGCAGATGTCTTCTTCGGAGACGTAGTACAAGACGAACGCAATGTGGAAGACAGAGATCCTGTGCCAAAATACGAGAGGGGAGAAAGGCCGCCAGTGTATGCCGAAGAGAGATAGGCAGTCCAAACATATGATACCCAATGCATGCTCACGCATCTTCACACCAACCTGCCTCCAACTCTCTGACCTTGCAGTGTCTCGTCTTCTAATCATAAACCACCTCCCCCCTCCTGGGACCACCCCTTTGGCTCCTCGCTCCCTCCGCCATCAGTCCTTGCATGTTCCTGACCCGCACCTCGGCCATGTACTCTTGTTGTTCTGCGCTCATGTGTCTGAACTCATTAGGGTTTCTTCTGAATCCAAAGGTCTTGTGTATGGCGTAACCCATGCAGACGAGTAGACCCGCACTCAACAGGATGAGGATGATGATGGCGCCCTCGGGGATCGCGTAGCCGGCGTCGCGCTTCGTGAGGGGAGATGCGGTTGCGGTGTTGAGGAGAGTGAAGAGGAGGATTGCGGTTGTGAGTGGGGAGGCCATGGTTTGGATTAAGCTTGGCGTAGTTGCGAGAGGTTTCGATGAGAGTGTAGATACCGTGGATGCCGGGTAGGGTCTCGATCTCTGCCACTCTGGATGGGATCAAGACGTCCACGGGTGTGTAATAACGGTGAAGGAATCAAACGGAGATAGTAGAAACGGCGGAGCGAGGACGTATAGTGCCTCTAGATGGCTGTGCTTGTTTCGCTGAAGACGCTGACGAAAAACAGAAGAAGTGCCGTCCAGTATGACCTCGGGGTGTTCCAAGGTTTGGCAGTGAGTAAGTGAGTGAGTGAGTGAATGAGAGTGAAAGAACAAAAATGAGCAGTAGGCAGCAGCACTTAAACAACAGACGCGTCGCTCCGTTCCAAAACAGTCGACTCCACCAAGCCACTGCTTTGCCATCATCCCTTCATCCTCTATTGCCGTTATCATACGTGCGCACAGGCCATACCTTCGTACATTACCTCTTCCGACATAGCGCCCTTCCGCATCGGACGCTGGTTGGCCAACGGTGACAGGCGACCCACCCAACTTAGTCGTTTCCAAGGAGGAGATCCACTGTGCACGTGACTTTGCGAGCGGGCCAATGAGAATGCGCGAGGCTTATATGGGCGTGTCCTAAAATGGCATCCACGCATGGCTTGTGGCGTTGCAGGACCTGTGTACTGCTGACAGTGACCATGGAATATACGAGAATGACGCCCTGGAATTAGTGGACATGGATGCTGCAAATGTAACCGAAGTACTAGCTGCTACGTTTCCGCAGTCCATCGTCGTACTTGCCTACAATAAAGGACATAAAACTCAACCGAGTTTCTAACTTTTAACTCAGACTGGGACTTGGTAATGTTTCGCTCTGCTCCAAATACCCAATACTGTCAACGAGTGATTACTGCAGCACGGTTAGTGTCGACAAATGTTTGAAACGCGCTCGATCTTGGAATTGATTGTAGGCAAAGAAGTCTTACTAGATCTGAGACCAACAGATTAGAAGAGAGAATGCATTTCGATCGTGAATTGCGCGAGACAAGAGATAGAACCTACGACAAGGCAACGGCAATAGCATACTTGCGCAATGCCATGGCAGTGTACTACGAAGACCGAGCCGCATTCGAATCGTATATCGCTACAAGGTTCGTGGTGTGTAACTGTGCAAAAGCGAATGGTGAATGCAGCCTTGGAAAGGAAATTTTATGCTTACGCATTATGATGCCGGCAAAAAAATGAATAAGCCCTAGAAGCCATGCAAGCCAATCTATAACCGCGACGGCTCCGCGCGTGTATAAATACGGAATGAACGTCGCCCTCCCAACGCCAAGACATGCATTCGTCAATCATACCATGCGACTCTCTACTGAGTCGCACATTGAGGACCCTCAGCCTCCTCATCATCGTCTTCCCACTCAGCGCCGCCTGCGCGTGGGTCTCCGCTGCCAGCGCCGTAGTCCTCCATGTCGGCGTCCCATTCGACGTCGACCTCTTCCACCTCTTCGTGCTTTTCTTCCGGCTTGTCGTCTTTTGGTAGCGCATCTCGGAGCTTCTGTACTGCAGCGTCGTTCTTCAGCCAGCCGTCCTCGGGGAATTCGACGTCGACTACTAGGTAAAGATCGCCACGAGCGTCGCTGCGCTTGATAGGCATACCCTCGCCTTCGATCTTGAGGATTTGTCCTGGTCTCAGGACGTTGCCGTCTGGTTGTTGTACGTTGAGCTTGAGACCCCGTCCGTCGAGATGGGTGATGACTACTCGGTTGAAGCCTGTTAATGCTTCCACCAAGCTGACCTTCAACTCAGCCCTCAGATCTGCGCCTGCGCGCTCGAAGACGTCGTGTGGCGTCTCTGTAAGCGTGAAGATGATGTCGCCTGGCTCCTGATCGGGTACTTGATCTGCTTCTCCTGCAAGCACTATGCGCTCGCCCTGTCGCGCACCACGGGGAATGTAAAGCTCGAGAACGTTCCTGGTTTCCACGACCTTCTTTCCTTTGCACTTCTTACAGCGATGCTTCTCGGGAATGACCTGGCCAGAGCCTGAGCAGTTGCCGCAAGGAACGGTCTCTTGGGTGACGAGGCCGGGGCCGACCTGGCGGAGGACTTGCTTGGCACCTGGGAGAGTTAGTATGTCTGGATGATGCGAGATGAAAGAGCGACGTACCGCGTCCATTACAGACGGCACAAGAGTTGCTCTTGGCGCCCTGCTTTCCTCCGCTGCCCTTGCACATGTTGCAAATGATGTTCTTGGTGCTGGAGAATTTGGTCGTCTTGCCCTTGTATAGCTCTTCCAGGCTGACCTCGTACTCCTGCTCTACCGATCGTCCTTTCCGTGGCACGTTTCGTCCACCGGGCATGCCTCCCATACCGCCCATTCCAGGCATTCCGCCAAATCCGCCCATCCCGCCGAACATTTGCGCAAAGATGTCGTCGATGTCCGGGCCTTCGCCGCCCATACCGCCTCGGGACGGGTCGAAGGCAGCCATGCCGTGGGTGTCGTACATGTGTCGCTTGTCATCGTCGGAGAGGATCTCGTAGGCTTGTTTCGCGGCCTTGAAGCGAGTCTCGGCCTCTGCGCGGTCGTCTTCTGCGACCTTGTCGGGGTGATGTGCTAGCGCAGCCTGTACAGGTCAGAATGGGGTCGCCCTTGCGTTGTTGTTGCTTACGAACCTTGTGGTATGCCTTCTTGATCTCGATCTTGCTTGCGCCCTTTTCGATCTCGAGGACCTCTGTTCGCGTTAGCAATGTTCCAAATGAATGGACGAGTATACTAACCGTAGAGGTCGATTTCTTCGTCCACTGGAGGTGGCATTCTGTTAGTGAGAGTCGTGTCGTAGTAGACTGGAGGTACAAACTTTTGTGTTGTTATTGTTGGGTTGGGCGTGGGTAATTGGGAAGCAGACAAACTGGTCCAAAGTATGTACAAGAATAAAGCGAGATACAGCGACGTAAAGGGCCTCGTCCAGTGGGAGTGAAGGCAACAAAGTTTCTCCAGATTTGTCGATCGCAGGCAGGTAATGCGGGCCAAATTGTTAGCAGGCGCCGCCCCCACTAACGTCGAATCCCTGCACGTCATTTTCACCCGCGAACTCGAACCCTTTGCGTCGCATCAACACCGCCATGTCGTTTTCCCTACTCCGCCCACAACTATCGCAGTACACGTGCCGGTCATGTCTAATTCGCCTTTCACGCGCCTCGCGACGTCCGATCTCTTCCAACACCTATCACATCAAAGAAAATACAGCTAAAGCCGATGCAAAGGCCGCCGTACCAACATCTCCCGCACGGACGCGTTTTGCGCCTTCACCAACCGGCTACCTCCATCTTGGATCGCTCCGGACGGCGCTGTTCAACTACCTCCTCGCGAAACGGACAGGCGGCCAATTCTTACTCCGGATAGAAGATACAGACCAGAAACGCACAGTACCCGACGCCGAGCAGCGACTGTTCGACGATCTACGATGGGCAGGACTGCAGTGGGATGAAGGACCAGAGGTTGGAGGTCCGTATGGACCGTATAAGCAGTCGGAGAGGAGCGCGATATACAGGCAATATGCGCATCAACTGCTGGAATCAGGCCACGCATACCGCTGTTTCTGTTCCTCTGAGCGCTTGAACGCGTTGGCGGAACACAGACACAAGCTCGGCATCGCAACCGACTACGACCGCACATGCGCTCCGCCTGCGATATCCAAGGAAGAGAGTGACGACAGAGCGCATAAGGGCGAAGCGCACACCATACGTCTCAAAGTCCCAGACCAGTACCCGACATACAAAGACCGCATCTACGGCACCTTTAGGCCTCTCAAGAGACGCGGCCATGTCACCGAATCCGCATACGAAGACCCAATTCTGCTCAAATCCGACGGCCTTCCTACATACCATCTCGCAAACGTAGTAGACGACCACCTCATGAAGATCACTCACGTAATCCGAGGAAGCGAATGGATGCCCAGCACCCCCAAGCACATCGCCATGTACCAAGCCTTCGGGTGGACACCCCCAGAGTTCGCCCACGTCGGCCTCCTCGTCGACGAGAACGGCAACAAGCTCAGCAAGCGAAACTTCGACACCGACATCACCGCCTTCAAAGAGATGGAAATCTTCCCCGAGACCCTCACAAACTTCGCCGCGCTACTCGGATGGAGCCACAAGGAAAAGAGCGATGTCATGGACTTGAAGACACTAATTGATAACTTCAGCCTGAAATTCACCAAGGGCAACACCACCGTCACATTCGGTAAAATGCAATTCCTCCAACGCAAACACGCCCTGCAACGCGCCTCAACCGGCGGCCCCGCCCTCGAAGAAATGGCCCACAACGTCTCCCGTCTGCTCACCTCCCCCGAATCGCCTTACCAAGACTGGAAGTCCATAATTGGAAGCCCCTTCCCCGACGACTACATCCGATCCATCATAACCGCCGACGCAGAAAACTACACAAACGCAAACGAATTCCTGTACCGCAACTCCTTCTTCTTCACGCCCCTACGACCATTTGATAAGCAGCCGCCCATGTCGACGACCTCCGATATACCCATGCGCGCACAGATGCTAGCGCAGATTGAAGAGAAGGATTGGAATAAGGAGAATCTGATGCAGAAGGTGCATGAGATGATTGATGGGAGGCCCGAGGGGAAAAAGGGCGCGAAGGACGTGTATCATTATTTGAGAAAGACGGTTACGGGCCAGGAGCAGGGCATGAGGTTGTATGATATCTTTGTGATCCTGGGTAGGACGGAGACGCTGAAGAGACTGGGGTTGTTGGTCAATTAGAAGGGTGTGTAAACGAAAGTGTAACAATATTGTATAAGAAACGAGGTCATGACTATACATGTTAGTTGATCTTCTTGCATTGCTACGATGAACTCATTGTCTTCAATTCGTGATATTATCCCACCCTGATCTATTTATTTACGCCCTTGAACGCCTTGCCATGCCATGCTTTCCACAGTTGACCACGTTGTCGTGTCTAGGAAGTCTCCATCTCAACCTCCTGGCTCTTAACCTCCCCGCCATCCGCAAGACCAAACACCTTATCCTTGACCTTCGCCGCTAGCAGCCCCATGTCCTCTTCACGAGCAATCTTGCTTCCTGCTGCACCCAGCTTGGTCAACTGGTTCTTGCTCTCGTTGTTCGTCGCGTATCCCGCTCCGCCCTTGAAACGCTTGCTGGCGTTGTTCTCCTGCTGCATCTTGCGGGCGAGGTCGGAGATCTGCTTGGTGCCGTAGTCGCGGTTGGAGATGAGGGGCGATGAGGAGAGTGTTTGTACCCAGTACTTGTTCCACAGCGCTTCTAACAACTTGGCGTCGAGCGAAGACTTGTAGTGCGAGACTTCCAGGGAATAGTAGTGGTTGGCATGCGCACCGAAATCCTCAATCTTGCCGAGCGGAATAGTCTCGAAGCCGTCGCTCTCAGCACCGCTCACGTTCTTGGAGCCGCCACCCGCTTTCGCTTGGTTCTCTACGTACTCTGTGGAGTATGTGCGGAAGGCGCCGATTTCGACTTTGCCCGCGGAGACGGTTCGGTCGGGGTCGATGACGATGGCGCAGAAAGGGTCCTGGAACATTTGCTGCGTCTTCTGTGTGTTGACGTCGATTCCGGAGAGCCAGCAGCCGTAGCCGGGATGTGAGTGATACCACCCGACGGCGTTCTCCATCTGGCCTTGTTCTCGTGCGCGCTGCAGGAACTCTACCATGTACTCGTTTGCTTCGTCTTGTGCGTTGACTCGTGTCTCTGTTCCTTCGACTGGTAACCGGAATGCGTCGGTGACGACGAATGTGTGTGCTTCAATCTTGCCTAGCATTAGGCCCATGACTTCGATTGAGCCGCCCGAGCGCGCGTGCATGACCATCTTGAGGAGGGCGATGGCCGAGATGCGGACGGAGGTGAAGTAGTTGGGGTCGGTTCGCCATGGGTGCGCGTCGTTGATGGCTTTCTGGGCGGAGGCTGAGTAGTTGTAGAGGGCGTCTTTGCTGGGGTCGACGAGCTTGACGGAGTTCTCGAGCTCTGGGATGTTTGTTAGCTATGCGATGGTATGCGGGGTATCCAAGTTCAAAGATGGCTACGTTCTGAGCTGGATTAATCTTACCCCAGGTCTTCAGTGCGGTCCCCATGGTTGAAGACGGTGTAGGTTTGTTTGGGTGAGTTTGGTGTTTTGGTGGGGAGGCGAGGGAGCTGTATGCTTGCGGCGGGGAGCTCTAGCGCCAAGAGATACAAGGCATCAGCGAGCAAGCGGGCAGTCCACAGGAAGGTGAGATGAAATGAAAACAGTCTATTGCGCTAAACGCTGGGATTCATATCGCAGAGGGCCAACAAAAGAGAACAAGTGTGACGCCAGGGGGTCCATCATCGCTACTTCTTCCGCCGCGACTGATCTTCCCACCCTGACTTCTCATTCATCCTCCGTGCCTCATCCTCCATCTTCTTAACCCACCGCTTAGTCAACTCCTCATTCTCCTTGCGTAGCTTCTCCTTTTCCTGCTCCGCCATGTTGAGTTGCAGGTTCAGCGCAACCATCTCATCGTGCACCTCCTCTACGAGTCTCCCCTTGCCCTTGAGCTCCTCGGCTCTATCCTTGCCCCGCCTTTCCAGTGTTGTTCGCGCCTTTTCAAGTTGTTCTATGCGCTGCTTCTGGTGTGTGTCCGAGACTTTGAGAGCGCTGAGCTCAGCAGTCAAAGTACTAAGTTGCGTTTCGAGATCACCGCGCGTGCGCTGAGTGATGGCAAGTTCGGAGCGGAGTTGCGCGACAGCGGACGGAGAGGATATATCGGTTGTCGCTGCGCCTTTGCCCTTTGACGGGATGGCTTTGGTCGATGCGCTGGCTGTGGGTGTTGGCTCCTCCGCGGAGGATGTCTGGTTTGACAACTGCGCGGTATTGTCGGCGAGCCTGGTATCTATGGACATCAGCATCTTCTCGTAGCACTGCGCGTCTCGCATAGGCAGATAACATACAGGCGTTGATGTACTGCTCACGCGCTTTCTCTCTCGCGTCACGCGCATCGAGTGCAGACAAATATTCCGCCAGAGAGTTACTCATGGCGGCAGGTAAAGTTGCGCGAGATCAAGGAATGTACAAGTCGTCTTTATCGCTATCATGGTGGTTTGCTACGTGAGCAGGCTGAAGATGGTCACCATGGACGATTGCGGAGGTCGTCACTGCTCCGATTCGACTCGACCCCTGCTAGCGTCGATCTCGGGAAGCTTCGGTCTTGAATATCGCATGTTGCAGCAACAAAGTCAAACTTCTCTCCCGTTCAATTGATTCTTACGACCCGCCGTCAATCGCTCAAAATGCCACCAACACACATCTCGGGTACTTCGCGGGCCCTGTACCGTGTCTTCATCGCGCCAAACCTACGCAACACAACTTCCATCCCACTTCTCTACGCCCCAGCATTTGCGCCGACATCGTCTCCCACCTCCCTCTCCTCGTCCACACCTAGTCTCACGAGCCGGACCTCCACCCGCGGCATAAAGTACACGAAAGACACACGCCGCCATGCCATCTCCGACTACTACGTCATCGACCAAGCCATCGAAGCCGACATCATCAACCTCGTAGACGAAGAGGGCGTTTTCCACAACAACGTCCCACTCGACGAGGCGCTGACAAGTTTCAACAAAGTCACCCACCACCTCGTACAAATGACACCGGGAAAATACGACGAAGATGGAAACCTAGACCCCAACAGCCTACCAACATGCCGCGTCATTTCTAAAATCGATCTCCGCGCACAGCATCAAAAGAAGCTCGAGACGCTACGACGGCAAGCCAAGGGTCAGGGCACAGGACCTGCTACAAAATCGCTAGAACTGAACTGGGCGATAGCAGCGGGCGACCTGAAGCACAGACTGGTGGCTATGAAGAAGTTTCTGAAGGAGGGGCGCAAGGTCGAGGTTACACTCGGGCCGAAGAAGCATGGCAGGAAGGCGACAGAGCAAGAAGCGAATGCGGTTTTCAAGGCAATTGAGAACGCGGTGGCGGATTGTAAGGGAGCTCGGGAGACGAAGAGAGAGGGCGAGGTTGGCGGCATTATGACGGTCATGTATGAAGGTAAGAAGGTGGAGAAGAAGGAGGGTGATGATGAGGCGGCTTGAGAGAACGTCGAGATGAGATGGACAAGCAAACCTAGGGAAACCCTTGCCATGTGCTCCTGAGGCAAATGCCGAGCCGCGGATGCTGGGAATGTGGGCTGAAGACGCAAGAAGGTATGGTAAGGGAGAGCACGTGAGCATTTTCCGTGCCATGTAGTATACTGTACAACACAACCCACCTACACGTGGTGTAACGATTCATGAACATCTATAGATACACTGTACAGTAAACACGATCAAAACTTTCATATCCTCTTCTCCTCCTTGACCGGCTCAGCCTTCGTCTCAACTTCAGCCGGAACATCAACCTCTGGCATCTCATCCTCAAGAGCCTCAAGCTCCCCAGTCTCAGCAGCCACCTCCGCCCTCTTAGCCTCGAGCACCTGCTCACACACCCTGATCTCTTCCCTTGCCTTCTTCTGGCCAGCAACATCGCGTTTGAGCGTAGCGACAGTGTTCTTTTGCCTGGCTACTTCAAGCTTAGCCTCCAGAATCAACAGCTCAGCGTCCGAGACATAAGTCCTCTGATCACTAGCCAATTCAAGCTGCTCATCCGCGCTCGCTTCATTACCGGCGAGGCGTAAGGCTGCGGAGCGGTGCTCGTGGATTTGGGCTGCGAGCAGTGCGGCCTCGTACTCTACCTCATGTTTCTGCACTTCGAGCTCACGGACCTCGATCATGAGTTCTTCAGACTTTACGGGCGAGGTTTCCAGAGTCCCGCCGGGCCCGGCGAGGTCTTGTTTTGTGTTGATTTGGTAGGTCAACATCTGCAGACGAGGAAAGGATTCAGTGTTAGCGTCGTTGAGGTAGTCGGCGAAAGAGTGGCCGGTCCTTTCAGCGAATTGCAGTTCTTTGGCTTCAGCGAGGAGGTTGTAGGCGGATACGGTAAGCTCGTTGCGCTTGGGTCCTTGGGGGAGGGACTCGGCGTAGGCGTAGCGGGTTCCTGCTACGTTCTCGTAGATATCGGCGCGGATGGTGTCCTTTTCCTTGGGGTCGGAGAGGGAGAGTTCGCGGAATTCTTCCCAGCCGATGGTCGACTCGAGCTCCGTGGGTGGCGATGATCGAATGAGGCTCTTGTGCCAGGGCTGGAGAGCCTTGTGTGTAAGATCTTCCTCGTGGGAGAGGAGTATGTTGTGCAGGGCGTCGCGCTCGATGATGACGCGGGACAGCTCGAGAAGGTTCTTGACGTCGATTTCTTCCCATGTGAGTGTTTGCTCGCCGCGATCCATCTCCGCCAACGCTTGCTCGAGTAAGGGTCGCTCTTCCAGTGTTACCATCAAGCTCCTGCCCCTGCCCAGCAATTTCTCGTGGTACTTTAGGGTGTCACCTAGTAACCTCACAGACGGGCTCTCAATCTCCATTGCGTTGTCCACAATGATCAGCTCGCCTTTTCGGAACCGGTATGACAGTGCTGTCCGCCATGCGAGGTCGTAGATCTTCTTGGGCAGCTCAGTTGCGAAGTCGCGAGGCTTGGGACCAAATGCGACACCTCCACCTCTCAGCATGGGCGACTTTTTGTCTCCCAGACGAGCGCGACCCGTTCCCTTTTGCGGTCTAACCTTCCTGCGGGAACCTCTGACTTCATACCTAGTCTTGGTAGAAGCAGTACCTAACCGTGTACTATCGCCCTCGTAAACGACCGCGCGGTGTAATATGTCTCGTCGGGTGGGTAGGTAGAGATGGTTTGCAGGATATTGTTCGAATCGGAGCGGTTCGAGGGAGGGGAATCGGTGGATGGTCGCCAGCACAGACTGCTCTTCAAAAGGTTTGACGGGCACATATCCGGGTCCGGATCTGGGAGTGCTTATAGAAGCTAGTGTTGCCTGAGAGGGCGCAGATGTGGTGATTGAGCGGGTGGTGGGCGTGCATAGAGATTTCTTGACGACGTTAGCATGTCGCATACAGTGACGGCGAGGTAACATACGGCACAGCGCGTGCATAGCGCATTTGGCCGCACCGACAGCCTTCTCAATTGGTGTGTGGCGCCACGCATGGGCGCGGATATCCTCGTGGAAGCCATGCCGGTCGTCGTGGTGCAATTGTTCCAGTCGTCGGAGTTGGAGGCGGAGGTCTACGAAAAGCGCTAGTGTGGTCATCACCACATTTTCCAGCGGCACCATCGCTCTTGAACATCGTCGACGCCATCAACACCATGGCCTCCACACCCACCCTGCGCCAATTCAGCGCGTGTCTGAGATGCGTGCGACAATTGCCAAGCGCCAATGGCACCCGCCGACTCCTCTCCACCTCGGCGGCCGTCCGTGAAGAGGTGCAGACACAACCCACGAATGCGACTCCCCCTCCACCGCCGTCGAGCCCTCCGGAAGGCGCTGCTCAAAAGGCCGGCTCCCAAGATACCCCGGAATACATGCAGAAATGGGGCACGCTAGACCCCCAGATGGTGGAGAACAAGAAGCAGGAGCGCCGATTGCTGCGGAGAGAACATGTGCAACCCGTTGGTTCCCGTCGTCGCCGTGCCGCCCTTCGTCGGTCGACCCTGCAAAAGACCGACGAGGTCCCATTCGAACAGCTGCCGTATCAATGTTTCCAGGAGGCGAGAAAGGTCTTGTTGGAAGACAGGCAGGAGAAGATTAAGGAAATCAAGGTTCAGCAGGAGCGGATAAAGAACCTGATGGCGCAAGACGCAAGCATCAGTGGAGGCCCAGCAGCCAAGGAGCACAGACTGCGGAGCATGAGGAAGCACCTGAACGACCTGATCATCTTAGCGGACATCAACGACCCAGTTGTGAAGCGGAAGTTTGAGGACGGACAGGGTAGGTTATGCCAATCTGCTTTCTGGCGACGTGACTGACTTGCGAAGGTGACATGAACAAGCCCATCTACCGCTATCTTGCCGACCGCAAGTGGCGCCAATACAAGCGTCTCGTGCTCGAACAACGTGTTACGCAACTTGCCATCATTCCCGATCTTCTTCCGTCTCTCGACTTGGTTGCAGATATCGACCTTGGCTTCGGACGGAAGCCAGTCGCGCCCGGTGACTTCGTAGACTCCGCCATTAGCGAAAAGATGCCTCGACTCAATGTTCAGACCTTCACACCTGGTGAGAAGCTCGTCACTGTGGTCGTAGTAGACGCAGATGTACCAGTTCCAGAGAAGGACAGCTTCACCTACCGATGCCACATGATTGCCTCCAACATCACCATCTCGCCTAATAGCACTTCGATACCACTCCAGCGTATCGCCCAAGAGGACCAAAAGACAGAGGATATCACTGCCAAGAAGATCGCACTACCCTGGTTAGCACCATGGGCTCACAAAGGAGCGCCTTACCACCGCCTAGGTATCTTTGTCTTCGAGCAGCATGACAACCAGCAGCTCGACGTCACCAAGATCAACAAGGCCAAGCGCATGGGATTCAACCTTCGTAGCTTTGCCGATTCGAACAAGTTGAGCGCGATCACCGCTACGCTGTTCAGGACGAAGTGGGACGAGAGCATGGCCGAGGTTATGGAGCGTAATGGTCTCAAGGATCAGATTGCTGTAGAGTTCAAGAGGAAGAGAGTGGAGCCACTGCCCTACAAGAGGCGCACTGAACGCATGCGGTGAGGTGGATGAGGTTGCACGTAGTGAGTGCATGTAGTCATGTAAGCCATATGTACAATACGATGACCTAACAGCTGCAAGTCCAAGTTGTCAGCATGATATGTATAACAAGAGCATTGAATGCGACAATGAAGCGGTAGCATTGTTTACGAGCCCAGGCTGTCCTCATGGGATGTTGCGGAGTGGCTGCCTTTGATGATGGCCGCTCTTTCCAACCTCACGTACGGGGATGCTTCCTTCCTTGCCTCACGCACGCACGCTTGGAGCTCGACCCTTCTTTCTTCTGCCGGACATGCCTTGCCTTCCTACTTTCTGGCTATTTTTCTTGACGAATGCAGCAATCGCCATCAACAGGTCTCCAATCGTCGCTTCATCGTCTCTCACTGGCGCTTGTCTCCTTTACTCGTCCGCCCTCACGCCCATCATGGCGCAGAATGCACCTTCCATTCCAAATTTTCTTCCGTCCCAACAGCAGATAGCGCTTGCCCTTGCCATCGTTCGCAGTAAGCCGGCGGACATACCGATACGAGGTAATACCCGACTACCCAGATCAGACACCTTCTAACGGTGTTAGACTACGTCCTGCAACTGCGTGCTCAAATCAGGCCAGGTCCAGACCCGAGGGAACTCGACGATTCCAGTTGCTACATTGATCAGGTCGCCTACTGGAAGGAGCGATGTCAACAGGCCGAGGACGAATGCGGCAGGCTTCGGGGTATCAACATCAAACTCGAACGATCAAATCACCTACTGTCGGGCCTCTCCGGACCTGTCCCCGATGTTGATACAAGCATGCTGATGGCGCCGACTGCATCGCCAAAGAGATCTAAGCCATCGAGACAAGCACAGAAACAGTGCCTACAACCGGCCGCTGCTGCCCAGGAGACCATCGATAATGATATGGACTTCCTGGATGTGCTCGGTAAAGACGGCTTGAATCTCACGGAAGCTTTGTATACTACACACTCGCTATGCAGGAGTGAAGAGCCGGACGCCGAAACACTGTGCTACAATCTAGTAAGAGTTGCTTCGAGTATCGGCAAAGTCATATGCATAGTCGCCCAGAACTACGAGCAACTGTCACGTCGAGGGAGGAGGACACTGGAAGCCATGTCGCTGGACCAAGACAAATCCGACTTTGCCATCGCTCTATCCGTCTGCGCAAGAGCTTTCATGTCCTTACTTGTCGGTACCAACAAACTCATGGAGACAAAAGCAGATGCACGCCTCGCGAGTTTGATCGTTTGCGAGGTAGCAGATATGTTCAACGCCGGATTGCAATCAATTGAGGCATCAGCGCGAAGGACAGCGCAAACTTTCTTGTCGCAACCACACTCGCCAAAGAAGACGAAAACCAAGACGCCGCCTTCTATCATCAAAGAGTCGCCGCCGGCCAGAGCTGTCGCCCACTTGCTGATCAGTCTCCTTGGATTCCTTGAGAAGACCGATCCCGTGCACCAGAAGATCTTCGATGGCTTCGTTTTCGTTTTGTTCGAACGTGTTGGCAAGAGATTGTATTACTTCACATTTGGGCAGCACCGCAGCACGTCCATCGATGGCAACATCTTACCGCCACCTGAGCCGAGAGATGAGACAGAAGAGACAAGACGAGATACCGATGCCCTTGGAACGCGCCTGGAAGTCAAAGCTCTTGTGTTGATACTTGAACGCGCCATGGGGCTAGCTCCAAACCATATGAATCCCCAGAATGCTCGCCCAAGCCAGACGTCAAATCGCCCGGTCCGTACTTTGAGCACCAAAACTCCCGTCACGAGTACCAGGGCGCGCCTAAGTCCGCTTGCAAAAGATCGCTTGCAACGAACACTCGTAGCATGTATGTATGGGAACAACACAAACGATGAGTTTCTGGACGTTCTCACGAAGCCGTTGCCAGCCATGCGGCTGAGCTCACTACAAAATGTGGCTAAGATCGACGACAAAGATGTGGACACTTGGTATAAAGAGGAGATTTGGCGACTTGTTGGCTGGGACGTGCTCGCCAGAGAGGGCGCGTGGTGAGACTACTGTAAAGAATGTGAGAATTGTAATGAAGCTATGTAGTTGTCTACGATGGCTTTCTGGAGATAACATCTGGCATGTCTAGTTACTGGCTTCCTGCGCCAACTGAAACTGGCTAACGAACCTCCGTTCTACCACCGACTTCTGTGCAGTATGCACTTGATCCATCTCCTCCTCATCCCTCATTCCCCATCCACCCCCGCCAGGTGTATCAATAACAAAGCAATCCCCTTTCTGCACAGAAAAGTCCTTCCGTCCACCCAATCTACACCATCGCCCTCCAACCTTCTTGACAATATAATTCACCCCACTACTCCCATCCTCACCCCCAAACATACCATACGGCCTAGTAACCCGCCTCTCACTAACAATCGAAGCATTCATATCTCGGTAAAACTCATAGACGCGCCGAATCCCGTTCCCACCATTCCACCGCCCCTGTCCACCCGACCCATCGCGTATACTGAACTCGCGAAGAAGCACAGGGTAACGCTTCTCCAGTAGTTCCGGATCCGTGATACGCGTGTTCGTCATGTGGATGTGCACGCCGGAAGTCCCATGCCAGCCAGGCCCTGCACCGCTGCCTCCACATATCGTTTCTCCAAAGCCGAAGCCAGAGTTGGGAATGGCTGTGCCATTGTCGTCGTTGTCGCCGTTTATACCGAAGGAGAAGACGTTGCAGTCACCTTGGCTTGCGGCACAGGCTTCGAATGCGCGGATGACGACGTCGGTGACGCGTTGGGATGTGATTGGGTTTCCTGCGCATACTGCGGCGTAGGGCGAAGGGTTTAGGATACTTCCTTCTGGGATTGTGAAGGTGAGGGGGCGGAGGCAGCCTTCGTTGAGCGGGATGTCTTGGTTGATGAGGCAGCGGAGGACGTATAGTGTGGCAGACCTGGCGATGGCTTGTGGAGCGTTGAAGCTGTGGTACCCTTCCTCGCCTGTGCCGGTGAAATCGAAATGTGCGGACCCATCGTCTGGGTTGATGGTTATGGCGAGCTTGATGGGTGTGCCGTCGTCCATGAAATCGAGTGCGGCGAGTGGCTTGCCGCCAGTTTGTTGATATGTACGCTTCATGAATTTACGTACGCAGGACTCGGCGTTGGCGGTGATTGCGTGCATGTTTAGGTGTACGGTTGAGAGACCTCGTTCAGCGATAAGATCAGCCACGAGCGCTGCGCCTTTGGCATTCGCAGAGACTTGTGCTTTGAGGTCGTTGATGTTATCGGCGAGTTTGCGTGTTCCCGAGCATCCTGGGTATTGGGCGGGGTCGTGGAGTAGTACCCTCGTAACTAGTTCTTCGTCAAAGACTCTATCACGAACAAGGTATTCTGAGACGATCATGGCACCCTCTTCGTGTAGTTCGACGCTGCCGGCTGGCATTGAGCCAGGAAGTATTCCACCGATTTCTTGGTGATGGCCTCTCGAAGCTGTATAGAAGATGATAGTTTTGCCTGCATCGTCAAAGACAGGTGTCACGCATGTTATGTCCGGAAGATGCGTGCCGCCAGATATGGGGTGGTTAGCGACGATGACGTCGCCTGGTCGTAGTTGGCCTAGATACTTCTTGTGCTGATACATCACTGCCTGCTCCATTGAGCCAAGGTGGACTGGTACATGAGGCGCATTGGCTACAAGGCGACCTTCAGGACTGAAGAGCGCGCAGCTGAAGTCGAGACGTTCCTTGATGTTGACCGAAACACTCGTCTTCTGTAATGCGAGGCCCATCTGTTCAGCGATACTCATGAAGCGATGAGCCATCACAGAAAGCTCGACTGGATCAACAGTCCGGGGTATAGCAGCTTCGTTGCCTGGTAGGGTAGTCGTTCGGTCGAGTTCAATCATGACATGACGGTCTAGGATAGTTGCCTTGGAGCTCGGTGCAACCACAATGGTCTGTGTGTTGTCCAGAATGATGGCAGGCCCATCGATGATATCACCCTTTGCCAATTTTGTCAAGTGATACAGAGGAGAAGTAGTCCAGCCATTTTCGAAGAAGACAGAAACATGATCTGAGATCTTCTTTGTCGACACGGCGGATGGGGAGCAGTCGGTGAGCTGTTGATCGAGGTTGAACTCGGGTTCGACCGATGGGCTCCGGGCTGTCGCTCGGACTCGCACGTTCTCAACGAGGATATCGCGTCCGGGCATGATGAAGGAGAATTGGCGCTTGTGTTCAGCTACGAACGCGTCGTCCCACGTTCCTTGATCAGGACGCGAAACCATGAAGGTTGTGTCAGACCCTTCGTAGCGGAGGTTGAGAAAGTGCTCGAAACCGATTGTTTGGCCGGAGAACCCGTCGTTGGCCAGTTGTTCCGCTGCGTTCTTCTCGAGCGACGACAGCCTTTCGTCAAGTTCATCGAAAGAGGACTTCAGCAATACTGAGCACGGCTCCTGAACATCGCGAACGACGTCTGCCAATGCCATGCCATATGCTGACAAGATAGAAGAGTAGCGATGAATCAAAATGCGATCGATGCCCAAGTTGGCAGCAATAGCGCAGGCAGCTTGTCCACCTGCACCGCCGAAGACCGCAAGATCGTGATCGGAGGTTCGGTGCCCCTTGGCTTCAGTGAGCGAGCGGATGGGTCGACACATGGTCTCATTCGCAACTTCCAAGAAGCCAAGAGCAAGTTCTTCGACAGTCTTCTTCTTCCCATCAGTTCGCGACAAGTCAGCATTGACCGTGACGAGTAACTCTTCAAAAGCTCGCTTTGCGCCTTCATAGTCCAGAGCTTCGTTCTCATGCTTGCCAAAGATCTTTGGGAAGTACTCAGCCTGCAGACGTCCCAAGACAAGATTTGCATCTGTAACCGTCAAAGGCCCACCTTTGCGGTATGCCGCTGGGCCTGGATGTGCACTTGCTGACTCGGGGCCTGCTAAGAAGAGGCCGTTGCGATAAGAAAGTATGCTTCCGCCGCCTTGAAACTTTAGCAGCTACTCAAATCCGAGATCTTGAATGCTACTACTTACCGGCAGCAACAGTATCGATCTCTAGCTGTGGGGATTGAATCGTCACACCCGCCGTGATCGACTCGAAAGTATGCTCGAGCGTTCCCGCATACCGCGAAACATCAGTACTGGTTCCGCCCACTGCATCAACGTTAGCATACTTCCGGGTTGCATCGCAAACTTTGGACTTACTGTCAAAACCTATTACTGGCTTCTTCCGCTGTATATCAAAACATGTCTTGCTGAAGCCAACAACACCTCCTGCCGGGCCTGATAAGATAGCTTTGAGACCGCTGAAATGCTGCCATCCCACTAGTCCTCCGTCGCTTTGCATGAACTCACAACGAGCACCCTTGGTATCTTCCAGGCCGCCTACAAAGCCTTCACGAAAGCCATCGATGTAATTGCGCGTCAAAGGCGTAAGGTACGCGTCTGCTGTTGCTGAGTAGCCTCTCGAGATGGCTCTGATCATGGGGAAGATCTGAGATGAGACTGATATCTGCTTGAAGCCGATGTCTCTGGCGATATCGGCAACTTGAAGCTCGTGGTTCGGGAAAGTATAGCTGTTGATAAGCGTTATCGCCAAGGACCGCACGCCCTTGTCGAACAGGGCCTGGAGACCTTCGCGAGCGTGTGTGCTGTCTACTGAAGTGTCAGCGAGGAAGTCACTTCCACGTCAAGTTACTAACCAATTGGTCGCAGAACGCGAATGGCTTCGCCACCGACCCCCCTTTCCAGGTTATAGGAGTCGCGGTTGGGGTCTCGTAGTGTTGACTTGTCCTCGGTCGAATCGTGAAGTGTGACGCGCTCGTCAATCTCCAGAACATCGTCGAACAGGGTCTCAGGCCTCCGGATGTTGAGATCAAACAGCTTCGGTCTGGTCTGATCACCTATGCGTAGTAGATCTCTGAAACCTGTGGTAACGACCAACGCGCATTTTGTGGAGTTTCGTTCCAGCAAAGCGTTTGTCGCGACCGTAGTTCCCATCTTGATCGATTCGATGTTGCTGGTGTCAATCTTGCCGCCGCGTGGTATGGATACGTTCAAGGCCTGCTCGAGTATCCTGCGGATACCCTCTGTGGGTGCATCGGCATAGTTCGTTGGATCGTTACTCAAAAGTTTGACGAGTACATCTGGTTTCCCTGGTATAATACCTAAGCAGTCTGTGAAGGTACCGCCGCGATCTATGGCGATGCGGATGCCTGCACCTTGCAGGGGCTGCTCAACGAACGGCATACTCGGTAGGCGATTCAGCGAGGAATGAATCGAGGAAAAGGTGAACTGCAGTCTTCGACAGCCAAGAGCTCCTATATGTCCTACAGCCACTGGGAATTGAAGTAAATCACCCTCGTGCCAGCGGGTAGATCAAGGTATGAACACGCCAAAGAGGCAGCGCCTGGTCAGTTGTCCCGTTACGCGCCATTGGCAGTAACGACGCCGATACCGCAGGGGATGTCGTTCCGAAGGCATGGCAGTACGGGTTTGTAATGCCTATCGCGTCGCGTTGAGGGTGGAGTTGCTGCGCATTCTAGCAGAATGAGGATGACGCGCGATTGCCGATCCCTTCCCAGGAAACACGCTAATACTCCACTAGCGCGGAGCGAATGAACCCCTCAGTGAATCCTTCGAAGTTCCGACGTTCCTCTCCATCGGAGCCCAGAGTCCGAAAGAATAGCAGGGGTCGATATCTTGCTCTCCACCAAATACTGAGTGGTTATGCGATCATGAGCATGGGTTTGCAGCGCGCATGCCGAGGTCGCAAAATGATTCGACTGCTGTTCATGGCACCGTCGCCGTGATCTGCCTGTAGGAACACCATCATTGTCGCATCTAGATCCTACCAACATGGCCGAAAGCATCAATCTGCAATTGGGGTGGCCGTCGCCGTCACTCTTTCCATCGGCTCAACTTCTCGACGGCGCGACAAGCGTACTTCACTCGCAAGCAAAAACCGCAGCCTCACTCATCTACGGCCCAGATGCTGGCTACGAACCACTTCGACGCAGTATCGCAGCATGGCTCACTTCCACGTACGGACGCGGTTCGGAGCTTTCGTCCGACCGCATCTGTGTTACGAATGGAGCGTCGGGAAACTTGGACAACGTTCTTGCACGCTTCACCGAGCCAGGCTATACACGAAACATATGGATGGTTGAACCATGCTACTTTTTGGCCTGTCCGATCTTCATGGACAACGGATTCCAGGGGATGATGAAGGGCGTGCCGGAAGACGATGAAGGGCTGGATGTGGACTTCCTACGACGAAGTCTTGCGGACGCAGATCAATCGACAACACCCGCTCCATCAACGCGAAAGACGGGTGAAAGATATCAGAAGCTTTATCGGCACATCATCTACTGCGTTCCGACGTTTTCAAACCCAAGCGCGAAGACCATGTCGCTCAGGCGAAGACAGCAACTCATCCGCCTCGCACGAGAATTTGACGCCCTTGTGGTCACCGACGATGTGTACGACATACTACGCTGGCCAGTGGCTAAGGACGGAAGCTATGAGAGCCTCGGTGATGTACCTCCACGAATTGTCGATATCGATCGCACGCTTGAAGGAGGCCCCAAAGATGAATGGGGTAATGCTATGAGCAATGGTTCGTTCTCGAAGATCATAGCACCGGGTGTACGAGTAGGTTGGGCAGAAGCGACTCCTGCATTCACGCTTGCACTGTCGCAAGTGGGTGCGACCAGATCTGGAGGCTGTCCCGCACACATGGCTGCTTCATTCGTTCATGAGGTGCTTGAGTCTGGGTCATTAGGCAAGCATCTTGAGACCAAAGTTCTTCCGACGTTTCGGGCCCGCTATTATGCTATGCTGGAAGGGATAGAGAACTTTCTGGTACCACTGGGTGTCACTATCTCCACTGGGAAGCCGTACAATGAGAATTCTGACCAAGCGAGCGGCGCCGACACTAGTCCTGACGAGTTTTCTGCGCAAGCTGGAGGCTACTTCATTTGGCTACTGTTGCCAAAAGGTCTGGCTGGAAAGGGTGCCGATTTGGCTGCCAAAGGCTTGGAGAAATACAGTGTAAAGTTTGCATATGGCGACATGATGCAAGTGCAAGGGGACCCTACATCCGCCGTTCGTGCGGCAAAGGGCTATGGAAATGGCATACGTTTATCATGGGCATGGCACACGGAGGTAGAGATTCTTGAAGGTATTAAGAGATTAAGTGCATTAATCAAGGAAGGTAGTACATAGGTCTAAACCTAGAACATGTAGTTGATACATATTGGATCGGCTGTAGGAATGCGGGCTCATTCTCTTGACGGCGGCGTGAGTAAACCCCCAACGACAGCATGTAACTGACCATGCTTTCTAGCACTGTCGCCCAAGAAGAACTTCAAGACAACTCCAGCTGCTGCCACAGAATCGTCATCCGCATCGATAGCGTCGAGCGTCTCTTCCAAGACCTTAGGCTGCCAATTCGGGAAGAAATATTTGATTGTCTCACTGTTGATGAAACGATCGAACTCGAAGTGACCCTGGAATGTGAGGACACGACCAGGTTCGTACATGCCCTGATTAGCGCAGTGCTGAGTTCTTCCCAGCGTTGTCCAGGAGCCCGGCAGCGCTTCTACATCCGGAACAACCACGTGGTCGTGATGCACGAACTGTAGCTTCATCTTATCGCCATCTTTATCTTCCCCACCTCTTCCATCTCCAAAGAATTCGTTGTAGAATTGCCGTTGCAGTGTGATCTCTTTTACCCCTAGTTCCCAGCCTTCCGGATGCTTCTCCACCTTCACACCATAATCTTCTAGTAGAGCTTGACACACCAATTGGTGGCCGAAGCAGCTGCCGAAAATCTTCACCCTGGGATGTCTCTCATATATTTCTTTCGTCCATCTTGCGAGTTTGCGTATCCAGGGCAGCTCATCGTAGGCCGAGTTCGCGGAGCCTGAGATGATGACAGCATCGAACTCTGCTATCGAGCTGGGATATTCGTTCTTCGTGACGTCGAAGTCCGTAGATGTGATCTGAATGGTAGGGTCCAAGGACGCGCATGGTGACTTTGTGTTGGCAGCTGCGGACGAAAGAAGTTGGTGGAAGATACGCCCATAGGTGGGGGCGCGCTGGGCGGCAACAACAGGCACCGGTGCATCGGCATTAAGCATGCAAATGCGTAGATTTCGTGACATGGTTGCACGAATAGAGAGAGAGAGCTTTTGGTTTGATGTATCCTTCCTGACTAACGTTTTCTCAAGCAATGTATCTGTCTTCTATGGATGTCGCTTTCGGGATGCCCGCATTCGGCGATGCACGTGATGGCCGCCGATAAGCGGTTGACGTTTGTCGCGACTATCTCGCGATTTGCCACGTCTCCAACCACGCAAGGCCACTGACCTCGCCCACTTCGATATTCGATCAACCACCGCGACGACGTCCTCACAATGGTTGTAAGCATCTTTTACGCGATACGCGATGATCACAACACTCTGCGTACGAAATGTGACGGACTATTGGTGCCGCTGCAGGACGCCATATCCGTACGCGCAGCAACCTTCGAGCAAGCCCTATCGCCCGTTTTCCCATGGCGCATGTCGTCTATACAGACGGATCCTAGCGGTCGGGTATCAGGACCCATACTAGCACTATCATGGCGTGGTGTGAGGGCCTGACAGTCCACTATTGGTCGTGACCCACCATGCCACCATCGGACATGAGAGTCCGAAGAACCATCTCTTTGTCCCTCGACGCTAGGCAGCGAACATGGGTATGCGAACCGGTTGATCGTTGCCGTCGCCAGAATGCGGAGAATGACAACGTTCACGAGTCAAGGACACAATCTTAGTCCTATCGAGCTGGACTTTGACGTTCCATATCCCGTCCAGCCGCTGTCTAGCTGGAGATAGCGACACTCAACGAGATATCAAGATAGGTATTACTGATATGATTCTTTGTCTTGGTCTTGTATAAGATACGCATCTAATCAGGTGTTCGAGACACCCATTGGGAGGTTCTTTTTGCATCTCCATCCTTACCCCACTCATCGCTACCATGCCAGACGACAGCAAAGTCATGTCGTCCGCCGACATCGAGGACACACATTCCGTCAAGATGGGAGAAGTTTTCTCAGCCAACGTTGATGTGGCGGCTGCCTATGCTCATCATCTCACGGGGGAGAATGCGTATACAAGAAAAGAAGCGACACGCTTGCGATGGAAGCTAGACCTGCGTCTTGTGCCTTTGCTCTGGTGTGAGTGCTTGTAGAGCGAGATAACGAGAAGCGCTCGCTAACAGACACATCAGTCAACATCACGCTGGGCGCTATGGACAAAGTGACGACAGCTACAGCGGCCTTGTACGGCTTCCGAGCTGATACTGGCTTGACTGGAGATAGATACAGCTGGGTCGGCAGTGCATTCTATGTGAGCAATCCCAACTGTCATTGCTTCTATAGTGCTGACAATGCGTGTAGTTCGGTTATCTGTTCTGGTGCCTACCGAGTGGCAGCCTCCTCCAACGCTTCCCGATCGCCAAACTAATGTTTGTCGTCCAACTCCTCTGGGGCTGCATTCTCATCGCGACTGGCTTTGCCAACAACTTCCCCACGCTTATCGCACTTCGTGTCCTTCTTGGAGCCCTTGAAGCGCCCATTGTACCCGGCAACTTCCTCATCATCAGCATGTGGTACCCGCGACGTGAGCAACCTCTTCGAACCGGCTTGATGTATACGGGTCTTTCTGTGTGCTTCACTGGCCCAATCGGATACGGTATCGGATTCCTAGCAGGCGAACATCAATGGCGCGCTATGTTCTGGATCACAGGCGCAATGACTATTGTATGGGCTTGTGTGATCGGTATCTTCTTACCCGACAATCCTGTCAAGGCGAAGTTCGTCAGCGAGCGACAAAAGGCCATCGTAATTGACAAGATCCGGCAAGATCAGACGGGAGTCGAGAACAAAACGTTCAAGAAGGACCAGATGATTGAAGCCTTCCTTGATCCTAAGACGTGGCTAATGTTCTTCTTTCATATCTGGATCAGTAGTGAGTAACCCCGATGAGCCACCCTTCCAAATTTAGGCTAACGTTCTCTAGTTCCGAACGGAGGTTTGACGAACTTCACGCCTCTCATTATCAAAGGCCTCGGCTACACGTCTCAGCGCTCGACGCTCCTCACAATGCCTACGGGTATCTTGCAGACTGTTGCGTCCTACGTTTGCAATGGCGGAGTATTTCTGACTGCGAAGTATTTCCCAGCAAAACAGCTCCGAACCGCATGGGTCGTGTTTGGTATCATCGTCGGCATGATCTCAGCAGTCTTCTTATACGTTCTGCCGCTCGACAATTACAATGGGCGTCTCGCAGCGTTGTACTGCTCATACTTCTACCTCGGACCCTACATCGTCGCACTCGGTATCAATACGGCAAACACCGCAGGCCACACGAAGAAAGTTACTGTCAATGCGCTGGTCTTTATTGCGTACTGTGTCAGCAACATCATCGCGCCGCAGTTCTTCAAGGCTGATCAAGCCCCACTATACCCACTTGGTATGGGTGCTGTGCTGGCAAGCTACGTTCTTTCGATGATCACCATCGCTATGTATGCGACGTATTGCTGGTATGAGAACCGCAGACGAGACCGCATCGACTCTGATAAGGGTGGAAGGGTGCATGCAGATACTGACTTCCGCGACTTGACTGATAAGCAGAACGTACACTTCCGATATGTGTGGTAGACGTTACAGAAGGCAACGACAGCTTGATACGAAGTTTCTAGTTACCACAAGTTTTACCTAAATGAACAATTTGATTGCGAACATATTGCCATACCTGTAAATTTCTTCCTCTGCAGTCCGACACGTGCCTTTCATCAGGTGATAATTGTGACCCAATCGTGCGCGATACAAATTCAAGTCAAGATCCTGCACATTTCAAGCTAGATACACAGCACTCGGAAGTCGCGAAGCTATCAGGCGTGCGCCTCCGCACGCAAAAGTGGACCCGTTCTCTCTCGTTCGCTTATCTTCCGATAGCGGACTCTGTCGGACTTGCAAGTGCGAGACTGCGAGATGCACGAGACCTCCGCGCATCCTTGCAGTGGAGAAAGCAGATACCCTGCATATGCCGAGTGACAAGGATAGCTACACATCTCGCGGGTCGAGCTAGGGTTACTGCGACATGAAGAATGCTTCTTGTAGATAAATGTCAGAGGCACCTCGTTGACCGACACACTTCATACTACGAGCTGAAAGGCTAGACGAGAATACATATCACATTTTCTTGCATTCCATACGATGCCTAAACTCGACATATCCGTTCAAGATGAGCAGAAGGCTTTCGAAGCTGATGTAGCTGCTATTGAAAAGCAATGGGGCTCTGCAAGGCAGTCGCATTTGAAGCGGTATGTAGCCCCGTCAGATCCTAAGCGGTAGATCAACTCTGTGACCGAATTCAGCTGACCTTGTTACCAGACCATACACTGCAAGCACTATAGCCGCGCTTCGTACTTCCATTCCCGCTCCCTCGGAAGCCTCCTCGATCCAGGCCATCAAGCTCTGGGAGCAACTCAATGCACACAACAAAGCCGGCACATGCGAGTTGACATTCGGCACCACCGACCCGGTTGCAGTTTCGCAGATGGCCAAACACCAGCAAACTGTCTACGTATCCGGTGCTCTATGTGGATTCTCGGAAGTCGCACTCCCCGGAATGGACCACGCGGACTACCCCTGGGATACCGTGCCAAAAGTTGTTTCCAAGATCTTCAAGAGCCAGCTTTGGCATGACCAGCGCCAACGACAGTACCGGTTACGACATCCGATCGAGGAGCGTGAAAAGCTGGAGAACTGGGATTACATGGCTCCAATCGTTGCGGATGGCGATATGGGCTTCGGTAGTCTAACCAGTACAATGAAGATGGCGCGCGAGTTCGTGGACGCTGGTGTAGCGATGATACACATCGACGACCTTGCTATCGGAATGAAGAAGTTTACTGTTGGTCAAGGGCGTACTATTGTGCCGACGCAAGAGTACCTGGATCGTTTGACAGCTGTGCGGATGCAATTCGATGTCATGGGTGCGGAGACGCTACTGCTATGCCGCTGCGACACAGACCATGCCGAGTTCATCACCAGTGTCGTCGACGAGCGCGACCACGAGTATGTGCAGGGGGCGACAAAGACAGTAGAGCCGTTGAAGAAGTGTCTTGCGGCTGCGCAGATGAAGGGGCAAGATTTGAAGGCTGCGCGGGACGAGTGGAAGGCAAAGGCGGGGATCAAGACTTTCGATGAGGCTGTCGAGGCTGTTGCAGCTAAAGAAGAGTTTGCCGCTTACAAGGCGGAGCTTTCGAAACACCATGTTGCTTCTCTATCAGAACGTCGCGACATCGCAAGTAAGACCGTGAAACAGGGTGTGTTCTTCGACTGGGAACTATCGCGATCAGCAATGGGACAGTACATGATCAAGAGCTGTGTCAAGGGTATCGTCGAGCGTGCCATCGCCGCTGCGCCACTCGGAGACGTGACCTGGGCGCGTATGGATTCTCCGAACTGGGAAGACATCGTCGAGTTCCACACCGAAGTTCGCAAGGTGTACCCAGATCGGCTCTTTGCCTTTGGCTACACCGGTGACTACGATTTTGCGAAAGCCGGTTTCAGTGATGACCAGGTTAAGAACCTTCATCTCGATCTTGCCAAGCTAGGCATCGTGTGGCAAGTCCAGCCGATCTGGAGTCTGCAAGGTCTGAACATGGTGACAGAGCAATTTGCGAAGATGTGGCAGGACCAAGGCATCGCTGGCTACTTGAAGTCGGTGCAAGGCCCAGCTCTTAGCTCAAAACCTATGACTGATGGGTTTGAGAAGTTGAGTTATTGCGGTGGATATTTGGCGGATGCTTTCTTCGAGACGGTCGCGGGGGAGTCTATCGTAGACAAGGGCAAAGCAGCGTAGTTGAAAAGACGTCGATAGCCCACATTATGAGTACACTAGCTCCAATAGTATCTCACTTTTCAATGACGTGTCATGTCCAGCCTTCGAAGTCAAACACCCCAGGAAACGAGAGTAGGCCATCAACAGCCAAATCCTCAAGCCCAGAATCTGCAATCCCGTACTCAAATGGCTGCTGCATGGCAAATGGCATCTGGAAGTTTCCATTGATCTGTTGTAGCTGATTGTTGAAGTCTTCCTCAGGTTCCTGGTGATTCGGAGCGAGCATGCCACGAATCGTTGGTAGCTGGGAAGGTTGCGCAGAGCGATGGAAGTCTTCCATTATCATCTCATCGATCATGCGCAACACCGGACGATGCACGACTAGTGCGCGAACCTGTGGAAGGTGCTCTCGGATTGCCGTAACGGTTTTCTCTGACAGCCGAGTCGGTGGTTTGTTGGGTCGGTCGACCAGCGGGATTTCGCGCGCCAGTAGCTCGAAGACGTCTCGCAGGCATTCTGCCTTCGCCCACCTGTCTGCCATTATCGCTAGGATGTTGGAGCAGGCGCGGAGCGCGTCAGAGACATCGAGAGAGTAGTAATTGTCAGTTCTATGTTCCGGCGGGGTAGCCCAGAAGCAGTACAAGAGTGTGATGCCTGACTGGAATTGCACGAGAAGCTGCTAGGATTAGCGCATGCGTCATCGGGTGCGTGGAATTGCTTACTGCAAGCCATGGCTGAGCGATTTGACGATCAATCTGAGTCCTACGAAACATTAAGCAAGCCTGGCTGCTGGCTTGAACCGACCAATCGCCGGCAGATCCGATCACGTTGGCTTTTGTCGGTCGATAAAGCATGAGCAACGTATAGTGATAGATCATCGCTTGCCACCGTTGTGATGTATAACCTTTTGACTGTGGATCTGAAAAGTTTTGTACCCTAGATTTGAAGTTCTCCAGTTCCGCAAGTATTCTTATCCGCCAGTCTGAACTATTCTCAAATTGAGCTTGGTAATCCCATCGAAGCGTAACGGCGCTTATTTCGGATTGTATGCGCCTGCACTGCAGTATATGAAGCGCCGAGGAGTTACATGTGTAATTCTCAGAGTCAGTCAACTCATGATTAGGCGGTGTGATGGCAGCGGCTCCTAACAGATCATGATCCTCGATGTTAGCGAAAGGCCTTACGGTAATCATATAGTCCGGCACAGACGGAGGAAGATCGAAGGATGACATGACCAGCCGATCAAGAAGGTACGCGCACCAAAAGCATCGCCGTCGAACTTGAATGACCAGTCGTGCGTGAACGTCGGTTGATGGTGGTTCCGTCTCACCGAGGTGTAATTGTTGCAGGACACATTGTCGTATCGCTGTGGACGCGAGAGAAATGATGCGCTCAGTAGAGCTCTGGTGTAGTGCATGCACGGACAGCAGTAGATATGCCTGCACCTGGAGGATTCTATCTGGTTGACGTAGCACAGCCGGCAGGAGTGCGATACCACTATCGTAAAACTCTCGAGCATTGAGCATTGCCGTATAAGGTTGCCGCAACAGTACTAAAGCTGTCGCGTACACAAGATTGATGAAGAACCCTTGCCATGCTCGTTCTTCAAGGTCACGGGACAAACAGTGCTTCCACTCCGAATGCCATGTGAGGAAGGTGTCCCAGTGGAAAAAGGGATACTGGGCTTGAGCGCGTTCGCGATATGCGTTGAGCAATGATTCTTCGAGTTCCGGAGAGATGCTGGTCAACAGTGTGTGCGCGCTATGCACTTCGACCTGTGCCGGTCGTGCGGTTGTTGGGGTACGAGAAGCATCGGGAGCTGGAAACTGCGCTGAAGGTGATGCGATAAGCCCAAAGATGAGATGATTCAAGTCAGGTTCATCATCTGTGCCCGAAGCTATTGCATAACCCGAAGATGAGCCGGAAAGCATAGATGACCGCCGCGGCGGCAGGGTTTGTCGAATCGAATGAGCAACTGCTCCCCCTGTGATCCCATCACCCGGCAAGTCGCTGCTTGCTGGGGACGTGTCATTTATGTCGTGATCAGGCCTGTTCTGGGTTCTTGCTAGATGATCAAGGCTCTGCTGCGGGTCTCGAGCCTCAAGCTCAGCAACACGCTCTTCCAGAATGCGCACATATTCGCTCTCAACATGCGGCCGAGGCGCTGGCTGCGTAGGAAGGCATTCCTCGTCCCCTTTGACACAATTCTGGCACGGGCGGCTGTCTTCGCACTTCTGTTTCCGATAGCGACATCGCTGGCAAGCTAGTGTTCGTTGCTTTTTGGCAGGCGGTTCCTGCGGAGAACTTTCTGTATCATTGTCCATCGGGTGTATTTCTCAGGCTTCGGTCCATTCTTGGATTCCGCTAGCAGTGGCGGTGATGTTTGTTGCGACGGCATATCTTCACTCGGTCCAGGGCGAAGGCGTGGATGACGGTGCCGATTGCCGGGGGCAGGCGATAAGGGGGGACGCGCCTTACCAAAACAGGCGAAGCGTCAACGTGACCAGCCTTCTCCATCTACAAGTCTGTGCCCGCCCACATTTCTCCTGGATTAGAGCCGCTCCCGTGTCAGCTCAGCACTCAATCATGACCACCGTTGACCTGTTTCAACCCGAAGTTTACCCGTCTTCTCCTTCTACGAGGCCCACTCGCCCTCTCATTCTTGGAAGCCCTGAATCGACGCGACAAAGCTTCATTCTGATACGGCCGTAGACCATACGGATTGGGAGCGCGTTCGTACTCAGTCCCACAACACCCGCACGGTCCCTGCCAAAGAAAAGCGTCGATTTCGCAACACTTTCCTGAAGATGCTGCATCGAACAGACTACGCGTGCCAACCATCTTACTTTCGGGTGCTTGCAGCTCCTGACACCGTTGGAAGCGTGCGCCTTGATCCTCTAGTACAATGTCGTTCATTCTGTCTGGAGGCCGCGTAACTCCAGTGAAGTCTCAGCCTCCTTCTTCTCCGCTAAACAAGTTCTAAAGGCCCGAGTCGGAATCGGAAGTGGAAGCAATGATCGTAATCAATCTGTAGCGATAGCATCTGTAGCGCGTGGGTCTGTGATTAGTAGTCGCCGATATAAGATGTGCAATACCTCGATGGCTGATGAAACAACTGCGCCTCTATTACAGCTAATCGACCGGAATCAGCCACCATGCGCTTCGAATACTCTAGCTTGGCACTTTTTGCCGGGATTTCTTGGGCAGCCTCTTTGCCAAACACTACAAACTTCGAGCAGGAGACGCGCAGCCTCGATGAAATCTACCAGGCAGCTTTGGCAGAAGGTGGCGTTGTCACTCTTTGGCATGGCGGCGATGAGAAGACTCAGCAGAACAGTCTGAAGAGTGCCTTTGAGGCACGGTTCCCTAACATGACACTCAATGTCACCGTCGACCTGTCGAAGTACCATGATGTCAACCTTGACGCACAATTGGCTGCCGACAATGTTTACGTCGATAGCATCATCCTGCAGACGCTTCACGACTACCCACGATGGAAGAAGCAGGGCGCTTTGATGAACTACGCACCATTGAACTTCGACAAGATCTATCCCGTGTTCAAGGACGCCGAAGCGGCCTACAGTGGACTGCTTATTTTTGACTGGGGGTATGACCCTCTTACTGGTACCTTCATGGATACGTACTAAACAACAATAGCATTTCTGCCAACATGAACAAGACAAGCACGATGCCAACTTCGTACCAAGACTTCACGAAGCCTGAATACAAGGACAAGATCGTTCTGACCTACCCCAACGACGATGATGCCGTCTTGTACCAGTTCGAACTGATGTACGTTCTGCCCTCCGACCATCATAAATGAATAGGCTAACGACTTGCGCAGCATCGAAGAGCTCGGTGAGGAATGGTTCAACGCCCTGCTCGCCAACAACCCCCGCTGGGTGCGCGGTACCGCAACTCCCGGCACGCTCATCAAGGCTTCCAACAGCAGCAGCGCGGTGACCTTTAGCTCGGGTTACTCATTCGCAGACCGACCACCAGTCAAGTACGCGCTCCCCAGCGACGCCAAATTCGTCTCTTGGGCTCAGACCGGCGCAATCTTAAAGAAAGCACCCCACCCTGAAGGCGCAAAGCTACTCCACAGCTTCATGCTCAGCGACGAGAACCAATCTAGCCGTGGCTGGAGCGTTCGCGAGGATATCCCAGCACCAGAAGGCGCCGAGACGATCCTGCAACAGCCCGGTACGGATGCGCCTGCGTTTGCTGAGTTTATGGCAGACCGTGGTCACGTTGAGAGGCGAAGGGACTTTTATGAAGTTAGGATTGGTACTGCGCAGGGTCTCAGCCCGCTCATTGACGATTTGTGAGCATGCTGCCAGATCAACGGTGCGCCTTGAGGTAAACAGTCTACTGGAGACAACATGTAGATGTTATCTGCTGAGGCTGATCCAGTTAATCCAATAATCTATTGGCTGCCCTGGCCGATTTGGCCGTCTTTACTTATACTTTCTATTGAATATCTGTTGCCCGTCCTCTTCCTATTTTTCAACCTTCCGCGTTTCATTGGGTCCGTCATTGGCGGGGTAGCCTGCCGCGTTCACACCGCGATACCATCCTCTAACCCGATTTGCTCAAGTGCACATGCAGCGACCTTGTTTACTCGCGCCAACCTCACTGCTCTATTATTGTTGCAAACTCGCACTGCAATCCGCTTTGTTCGCGAGGTCTTCGATATGTCTGAATCAAAGCGATCGGCTGCTAAGTAGGTCACAAGCCAGGCATGCTCGCTCCTCTAGCCCTAAATGGGTACTGACGTGATCTCAGGCTCTTCAACAACCCCGCGCTATCCGACGTCAAGATCAAGCAAATCCACGAAGGTCATACGCGCGAGTACTATGCGCATAAGGCTGTGCTATGTCTGGAGTCCGATTACTTTCTCAACGCCTTCACTGGCAACTTCAAGGTAGGTTGGCAGATATCTAGAGCTGTGTGGAAGGAGAATACTAACGATCTACAGGAAGCATCAGAAGGCATCATGGAACTACACGAGGACGATCCCGATCACTTTGAGTTCTTTCTCAAGTTCATCTACACCAACGAGTACGACAAACACGAGATCGCGAAGCTCGCAGGCGATGACAAGAGCAAGCGTGTGCTTGTTCCAATCGGCGTGCACGCTATCGCTGACAAGTACGACGTTGTCAAGCTCTACGAGCCAGCTGCAGAAGATGTGAAGGCTGTACTTATAGAAGCTGTCAAAGACCTAGACATGCTCATCACTGCAATCCACGCTCACTACGGTACCGAGGTCAACGTCGATGGGGCTATGGGACGTCTCATAACTTCCGTTGTCTTCGAAAAGTACCGTTATCTCGTCAAGACGAAGGACTTTGAGCAGTTGCTGCTTGCGCATCCCACCTTCGCCGCAGACGTTGCGCTGAACTTACAGCGTAACGCACTATATGCATTAACAGCTGGTTGGTGTATTGGCTGCCAGGCCAACCAGAACATTGACGCAGCCGGTATGCGCAAGGCAGGTTGCACATACTTCTATTGCCCGAATTGCAGCAGGCAATGCCC